CGCCCTCCAGCTTGGTTCTGTCGAGCCCAGGGCGTCCTTCTAGAGCCCGGAATCCACGCAGCCAGTGCGGTGCCCACTGCAGGGGACGGTGCCCCCACCTCTCAGGGCAGCCCTGACTCTCACGAAGTTGCCCTTTTAATACCTGAACCAAAATCCAGCTTCTTGAAGCTTCCGCCCAGCGGCCCCCAAGAAATCTACTCCTGGGCCAGCCAGGGTCCCTTCCACTATGTGAACATAGTTCGTGTCTCTCCTGCCACCGTCCTTTGTTGCAGCTCTTCTCCCACTCGCTTCAAAGGTTCCCTCCGTGACATGGGCTGTCCCCACGCCCGGGCTCCCTGCCCACATCTGAACTGACCTTCATCGGTCTATAACCATCGTAGCGTACGGAGCCCGGATCTGAACATACAACGCTTTCCGAAATGTAATTAATTCTGAGCAAATCAAATCCAATTTAAAATCAAGATCACCAATACTTTAATATCCAATGTTCCCAACGGTCTATTAAATAGGAGTACGGGTAGAGATGGGATACGTGAATTTAAAAAAGAAAAAAACGTAGTAACCATCTGCCCCTCTTTTATGGTGGTTAGAGGATGTTGGCTTCTAAGAGGCTCCCTCTTCTCAAAGTTAATCTCAGTGAGAAGGTGTCCTATGCCCGCCCAAAGTTAGCAGCCTCAGCTATCAGCACTGGGAGCAACCAGGCATCCATCACTCTCCTGGAGTACTCTGCTTTATGTGACATATGGTGTCACTCTCACAAAGAGCGCACTGCCCTAGCTTGTACCTCACATTTCCTCCACGCCACAAGGAGGGGGCTCGATCGCTTTTAATTTTTGACTCTTTAAATAACACGAATAGTTATACATGAGCCCAGTGACTGGCTTGATCATCCAAACATCTGCTCTAGGGCTCATCATATACATCATGCATATCCATACACAACTGAGTTGCGATTTGGAACTCCGAATATACATAAAGATAAGGAATTGTTTTATGTTTATACTTCTGAAGATCAGAGTATCTGCTCCTATAACTTACTAGATTTCACCCCATTCATTTTAAGTTATAAATATATGTAAATGACTGTTTGACAGGTTACAGCACCTTTCTTAAAGAATTTATTTTTGACAGAGAGAGAGAGAGAGAAACAGAAGGAGCAGGGGAGGGGCAGAGAGAGAGAGAGGGAGACAAAGAATCCGAAGCAGGCTCCAGGCTCTGAGCCAGTCAGCACAGAGCCCGACACGGGGCTCAAACCCACGAGCTGTGAGATCATGACCTGAGCCAAAGTCGGATGCTCAACCGACTGAGCCACCCAGGCGTCCTGGGTACAGCATCATCTGCCACTGAGTGTGGAGTTTAATCGTTGTTCTTCAGCATAAGAGAACTAGGATAACTAACCACGAATGCTGATGCTGCAAAAACCTGGCTAGAAGGGAGGTCCTTATTTCTATCAGGTAGACCGAGAGCCCCCGTGTGGACAGAGGGTTTCTGGCTTCTGAGGCAACATAAATACGGATGATAAGCGCTTTTAGCTCGTACTTTGGGAACACACACGCCACCGAGTTGAGGAACATCTGGCACCAGAATACTTGTGCTTGGCTGGGAGTCTAGGAAGGCTGTGTAGCGGGCTCCTTCCTGCACCCGGCTGGGAAATGATACCGAAGTGCATTTAGGAAGCTCCGACCGCCCCGTTGGCCGGGCTTCGGTCAGGCCCTCGGGAGACGGTGCTGGGCAGTGCACACCCCTGAGCGAGAGGGCTGCTGGTCTCCTACATTCCTGCAAGTCAGTGGCACGGACTTCCCCAGGGATTGCTAAGAGGCACGTAAGAGGCATGAGTCCCTGGCTTCCGTTGCCTCGTCTCTGCCTTTTCTGTCTCTGCCTTGAACCTGGACCTACGTGACTGGTGCTCTTTGGTTTCCAGTTGGGTTTAGTCGAAGCGGGGAGGAAGGGGATCGGAGAAATCAGGGAGAGGAATGAGGTTAGGGTGATCCTCTCGGGTCCCTCCCCACAGGCTGCATACGTCCCTCTCCTGAGGGTCGTTGTTCCCGACCGGAGGCATTCTCCAGACAGCTCTCCCTCTGGGCCCTGATAACTGGCACCCCCCCCATTGGCCCCTGGGGTTCCACACCACCCCTATAGAGATATGATTAAAATTAAACACTATCCTCTAAAAAGCAAACAAGTACAGCTAGCTTTAACTTCAAAAACAGATGGTTCAGTTAGACGGTTTACACCATTTACCTAAAGGAGCTACTAGTTTATTAAGACTGTTAAAAAAATATTGTGTATCATTGAATCTAAAATGACCTCAATTGCAGGTTGCATTATGACTTCAGAGATGTTACAATGTGGGGAAAAAAGCGTACCTTAGAAATAACGCAATATAGCGTGTCTCACAAAAATGACTCATTTACTGTTTTGTGCGTAACCTTTCCTAGGGAAAAATGATACGTTTTCTTTTTATAGAGAACCTGTTGCCTTATTTTCTACTGAAAAGATGTCACGGCCGTTGGCGTTACAGGTACAATAATCTCTTAACTAGGAAGTGAGGGGCACAGTTTCCCTTCTGATCGTTGGTGTTGAATTTGTGAACACACGTCAACCATTACTCATCATCTATCCTCTCGACACCATTGTGACTTCTAATTTGGGTGTTTCTGTGGTGCCTGGAAGTCTGTCTTTCTGTCTGTGTCATCACCTCAGCAGTAACGCCTTTTGATGAAAGGGTCCGTGGTTGTTTTTGGATCGAGGATCTGTCTCAGCCTTATTACACGCTATTGCTCAGAGCACAGGGTACAATCCCGGTAACGCACGAAACGGGCTGGAAGCTTCTTAGGTGTCCAACAAGCTCATGGACACTTCTCAAACTTCCTTCGATTCCCCACTGGCTGACTGGGACACTGGTTTCAAGCAGGAGTCCAATCAAACATGAAACTACTAATTCACTTTACGGCTGTATCTTATTCGCATGGCTTTCACTCTGTCAGGTGGGTAGGTGGGATACTTGGAAAGTGCGGCGTATGGATAATGTACATTATACGTCGACCTGATAATCAGTGTCTGCCAAGTGTTGCTCCTGGAAAAAAGTCATCAGTCTGAAACATGACACACCCAATAAGGTGTTTATCTGTGACCCGGACAGGAAACCTTTCCCTAAAGCAAATCTTACTCTGCCCTTGGGTATGTGTGGCACACGTCACCCACCCTCATGAGAGGCCAAGCTTCTTCCTGGTTTTGCTCTAAGCCTCCTGTTAGGGTGGGGCGTGTCCACACGCCCCTGGCTATGGCCGGGGGGGGGGGGGGGGGCCGGCCTCTGGTAAAGGGCTGTGTGAAAGAGTCTCAGCAAGGCTCAGCATCTGGGGACGATACTCTTCCAGTGGGAAGGTCAGTAACGTCTGGGTGGGTGCTGAGCCTTGCTGAGATCCACAATTGTTATTATTTTTTTTTTTAATTTTTTTTTCAACGTTTATTTATTTTTGGGACAGAGAGAGACAGAGCATGAACGGGGGAGGGGCAGAGAGAGAGGGAGACACAGAATCGGAAACAGGCTCCAGGCTCCGAGCCATCCGCCCAGAGCCTGACGCGGGGCTCGAACTTACGGAGCGCGAGATCGTGACCTGGCTGAAGTCGGACGCTCAACCGACTGCGCCACCCAGGCGCCCCACACAATTGTTATTTTTCACCACTGCTGATAGAACAGAATCATCCTCATTTGTCATAACAGGAAAAAGTCGGTCTTTATTGGCTGAACTTATTAGCAGGGAGCCTATGGGAGGCAGAACGGTAAGAAATGTAAGGAAGGGCTTTCAGGCTCTTCCTCACTTGGCCGCCATGAGAGCAAGCTACTGGCCACTCTGAACGTCTGACTCCTCATTATGCAAGAAACCACACCGCCACTCAGCCCCCAGAATCGCGTAAACATCAAACTCTGCGCGTGCACCATAAACTCTGTTTCCTTCCTTACTAGTGGATGTATTGTGGGCTTATAGGCTCCTCGCTATTAGGAGGGAATAAGCCACTTTCTCGAATGCTGCAAACTGTACTTCCGAACCAACAGGCAGAGGATTCAGAAAAAGCACGGCAGAAATGGGGAAGGAACAAGAGTAGAAGTTATAAAAGTATTTCTGGTGTGTGTGTGTGGAATCCTTGTTGAAAACAGACCCCTTCACTAAGGACGGTGCCACAAGTAACAATTCGTGGTCAACAAGAATGCTATGAAATTTTAATTTTCCTTTGAAGTATTTCTTCAGCTTGTTTTTTCTTACAACCGCATTCACGTCGCCTCTCATAATGGGATGTATGTGTGTGTGTGTGTGTATCACCACTTTGTATCCCTGGAATAACAACATATAAATCCATCTGAAGGAGCCACTTCGGAAAGGTCACATCTGGCCATCACCGAGAATAAAAATGAAGGACTTGACGTAAGCGAAAGGAGAATCAAGCCAAACCGTGATAAACTGTGACAGCTGGAATATTAATAGAGGCCACAAAACAAAAAGAGGGGATAGACACTCACAGGAGGAGCGTGTATTCATAACAGGTGGCCAAAAGCCGGAACTGAGGTAGCTGTCTCGTAAGGATTGAGACCAGCCAGTATCAGAAAAGACTCCTAGAGTAGGAGAGGCAACAACCTTTATTGGAATAATACAACATGGCGCACCTCCCAGTTGGGAGTGGACGTGCTCGCCCCAGGGTGTGGAGGGAGGGCAAGACGGAGAACCTGGCCAGGCGTGTGACAGGGAGACCAGAGTTGCCTCACACCAGAGGACTGCCAGGAGGTAAGACAACTGATTTGGTTGAAAAATCTCGAGAATCAGTCAGCGACGAGAAGCTTCCAAGGGCCCCACTAGTGCCGTCTTGTACAAATAGGGCACATGCGGTGACCTGCGCTGCTGTGCATCTGTGGTTCTAAGGGTATGCGACTTCGCCCATTTGAAAAAGAAAAATTAATTTTCCGAAATGCAGACCCTCACCCTGAAGTCCCCGGGAAGCCTTACCTTCAGCAGTGCTGGAGAGACCATCGGCCTTGAAGTTGCTGGTACTTTTCTTCCTTCGGTGCTTCTTTCTGTTGGCGTGAGGGGAGGGGGGCGGGTCGAGCTTGGGGCTGGTGGTGCTGGAGATACTTGGGCTGGAGCACACGGAGTCGCCCAGCCCCGTGTCTGCCATCAGACCGGAAAAGGCAAAAGAACGCAAAAGTTAACACTCGAAAAGAGGCAGGCTTTGCAAAAATATGAAAGCAATGTTCCTCCAATATCGTATCAGGCCCCACAGGCACTACGTTAATGTGAGATCACTGGGTTGGAGGCCCAGAGCATCCAGTATTCAAACGTCACGGGGCCACCTGCTCTCATGTACCGCCTGCCATTCAAAAACAAGGCCTTTATTTCTGGATCATCTGTAGGCTGTGGAGAACTTAAAGTTCTCTACTTTGCCCGACTCGTGTTCTGGAAAAGGAAAGTGGGGAGTTCATGCGTTTCGTTAGTTTATTTTTCTCTTCCCATAATTACACCGATACGTTAAAAGTAATTTAGAGATGTACAAGAATGCATAGAAGGCGTCCTCGTGGGTGGGTCTGGTCCTGTGCGTGCACACAGGACGGAGGGATTCCCCATTCTCGTAACTTCCACCCTCAACATTAACACGACTGCAACACCCGTTTATTATTATCGAGAAATGGCACGCCACCTCACTCTCCCACCACGGCGGACCCGCCGATTCTTGATCCACTGAAGCTATTTGTACAATTTTAAAACCAGTGCCCAGATGTGATAATTCACTATAGGGGAAACTCAATTTCTTATGTCCATTTTCCTCTTTATCGGAGAGAACAGCAGAGAAGTTCTCTTTGTTCAGGGAATGAGCATGTAATTCAACCAGAATGAGAAAGTGCTTTGAAAAAGTGATGGAGAAACACAACCAAACACCCGCAAAGCCTGAAGGATTCATGATTCAGCATCTCGTAGCTCAAAAGACAGAAAGTTCGCTGCAAAGTACTTAATTTGTTCAACTAGTACGTTCTGCGCACCGACTGTGGGCCATGTTTGTAGAAGCTTGGGATCCATCACTGAGAAAGACAGAAAAAGAGTCACTCCCCAGATACATTAGAAGGTGGTAAAGTATCATGAAAAGGAGCAGGGCTGCACGGAGGCTGGGCCACCCCAAAGTTCCCGCAGGGTAACCTGGGAACATCTGATGGCACGCGACCCCGGAGACTGGTCAACAGGGTCCACTGAAACACTGGCAACCATTTCAAGGAGTCTCAGGAAGAGTGACAACTGGGTGTCTCAGGGATCTGCCCTCCCCCAAAACGGACTTCCCTCTACTTGCCCTCCCAGGCCAGACATCTGGTAAACCTCACTGGGTAACTTTGCCCAAGGAGTAGCAAGCAGGCCTGAGTCCCCTCTTGGCTGCTTCTGTCCCTGTTTTGGGTGAGGGACACAGACTTGAGAAGGCTGGGGCTAGAAGAGGAGTCTTTATTCACAAAGTCACCATTTCTTTTTGGTATGGCCTTTCGAGCTCGCCCCTGCTCTCCATTTAAGCCACAGCTGCCCTTGGTCCCGTCCTTGCCCCCCTGGCCTGGACGGAGCAGCTGATGTGTCTCTTTTCTTTGGGCATTCTGCCTTCTTTTCCCAGACTTTTTTCTACAATATTCATCTTCTAAAAGCAGCAATCCTACATATTTTAAAAATACTAGAGCCCACTGGATAGCAGATGAAAACTGTAAATATCCCAGAAAAAAAGGCTATTCTAATTAACACACTGCACACAATTTCAGAGAGTTCAGAGTCCGCCTGGTGCTGCTAAGGGGTGTCGGGACAAGAGCGTTAGCTGGTCCTAAAGCCTTTAAGAGGCTCTAAGCCTCCCAAAGCTGGTCCAACCCTCTTAGGATATTACTCCACACTCACACCTTATCATGATTTAATTTCTGTCCATTTCACCGATTTTCCGCCCAGATTTCAAAAGTCTTCATTCACTCTCTGACCATTAAGGGTTAAGAGCCTACCCTGTGTCAGGCACGGGAGAACAGTTGTCACAATGACCGTCCCCAATACCCATCCTGGAGGTGGATGAGGAAAACAGGCAATGACAACTGCCCTTTTACTATCTTACTCTGGCCCTTGGGCACCCACTCAATTCAGAGCACCATTTTCATTCCCGACTGTGCGTCCCAACCCACATGTCACCCCCGCTGCTGTGACGCTCTCTCCCAAACTAACATTTCTCATCCCTGAACCACTGACCCCGAAGATGTGCTTTCTGCACGTGGACGTCTGTCAGTTACCTGCATCTAAGTGGCACGCCTGTTCCCTAGGGCAGTTAGACGCCCGTTTCCCCCATATGATACTGAGCGTGGAGAGGCTGCCCCAGGTCCCTCCCATTGTCTTTTTCTTTTCAAGTTTATTTATTTGTCTATTTGAGAGAGAGAGAGAGAGAGAGAGAGAGAGAGCGAGCGTGTTGGGGAAGGGCAGAGAGAGAGAGAGAATCCCAAGCAGGCTCTGCACCGGCAGCACAGAACCTGACATGGGGCTCGAACTCACAAACACTCGCAATCACAACCAAGGACTGGACTCTCAACCGACCTGAGCCACCCAGGCACCCCCCGCCCCCCGCCCCAGTTCTTTTTTAAGGCACGCAGCAACACTTCTGGATCAGATGCTCAGAATACACATGCGAGTTGTGCATGGTCACAGAACAGCTTCCATATGTGTGTGGTGGCTCTATTTCTGGGCTCTCTAGGCTCTTCCAACACTCCGCCCATCTGTCTCTATGGTAGCAGCGTGTGATCTGGAATGCGACGGCTGGGCCATCCTGGTTCCTCACAGGGTAGGGCAGGGCCCTGCACATCATTATCCTTCACGACTGCCTTGCCTATTTACTCCTGGCTGCCTCGAGCACACAACTTCGTACATCCACCCAAGGCGACAGAGAAGACATTAAAGAGGGAGGGGTCCAAACCGAGCCCCAAATCTCAGAGGTGGTAATCCACACCTGGAAGCACCGGGGAGACCGGCGAACGAGACCCGGGTACGGCAGGTCACCTGTGAAACCAGCTCCCGGATCCTCGGACTTGCTGATAAACCACCAAACACTCTTGTCAAATACGTGGCTGTAGGTGGGCGTCCAACCTAGTCATGTTTTTGATGATTTTAAAACAACAAAGGGAAATCTATGTAATGTTTTTTCTCCTCAACGAACTATTCTGCTTAATTAAATTGCTGTTCCCTTTTCTATATCTATACAAAGCACTTCTCTAACAATCTGTTTATTTTTAATGTTTTATTTATTTTGAGAGAGACAGAGAGAGAGAGAGAAAATCCTGAGCAGGCTCCGTGCTGTCTGCGCAGAGCCCAACGCAGGGCTCGATGCCAGGAACCTCAAGATCATGACCTGAGCCCAAATCAAGAGGCTGATGCTCAACCAACTGAGCCACCCAGGTGCCCCTCTCACAATGTACTTTAGAATCCTACTTGGGAATGACCTCGCGCTCACGGGTATATTGGTCATAACTCACCCTCCTGTGGAACAAAACGACAGGTGTCTGTTTCTAGGGATGCCCCTCCATTCCAGATTCAGAAAACTGTTCCTAGAGATCATTGTCAGGGACACGGTGACCTCATTACCGAGTTATCTGGGCATCTTGGGATATCTGTAACTCAGGGAGAAATCTCTGGCTGACTCGCTTGGAGCAGGTAGCTGAGTGGCAGTCTTGAGAAGGAAACGCACGCCAGCCGTGACACCCACCCTCCCCCGAGGGACCAGCGGCAGCCTTTACCGCAAGCCTTCTCTTCCGCGGGGAAGCTTCAAGGCCAGCGCGTCATCCGCCTGTGGCTCCGTGTTTCCACTAAGCCACTGGCTCTCCATCGGAAACCCCTGCCCAGGGACATCTGGTCACGTCTGCAGACACTTTGGGTCCTCGACAGAGACAGGTGGAGGCGCTGCAGGCACGGACTAGGGAGAAGCCAGAGACGCTGAAGAATGCGCCAGGACACAAAAGGACGGCTCCCGCCACAAAAACCCGCCTGCTCTAAAACAGCCACGGTGAGATAAGCGAGGAATCAGAACCGCTCTTTTGTTCTTCATCGCCCTCTCAGACTCGTCCGGGAGTTACGGGCTGTCCGTGCAAACTCCCTCGCGCGAGGGAACTCCTCAGGACGCTCGCTTCAGCTGGTAGGACCTGGCTCTCCCCTGGGGACACACCTCTCAGGTGACGGCACTGGTAGCCCCCCCCCCCATCCCCCAACCGGACGCACAGGTGCGGCTTGCAAGCCACTCTTCCTCCAGCCCCGGCCTCCTAGACACCATTCCCTGGACGGTTCCGCTCACACCCGCCAAGCCGACCCCCTGGCTCATGCCCCTTGGCTCACGGACTGCCCAGCAGCCGCTCACCCCATCCTCACGGATGATGCCGTCCAGATCTTCCGAGGTGACCCCCACTGCCGCGGCCCGGCCTCTCGAGCCTCCCCCTTGCTAAGCTCTTTCCTTCCATCCAACCCTCATGGTGCTAACCCAGACCCACCACCACGAGCCGGCTGTTCTGGGTCTTATTTTTCGTCTTCCCAGCTCACTTACACCGGGACCCACACTCTGAGGGTTATGCTGCTGACACTCTCCTCCCTCTGCCTCTCCTGACCCTTGGCCCGACTTCACTGCTAGTTTCCACCCTGCACCTGGCTCAGCACCTGCACTCAGGCCCCGTGGGGGGGGGGGGGGAGGAGGAAACAGCCTCACACCCACTGGCCTCCTCTATCTTTACGACCCCCAAACTGGGCCAGGCTGGACTGGAGGCCAGACCTCTGGCCTGCCCTTGGATGCACCAGGAAACTGAATAAAGCCACTCCCTGCTCTGCAAGAGGCTGTACCACACCTTCTCCATTCTCCTTAAATGCCCCACGCCTCACTCCATCCCCCACAGAGACATCATGTTTCATTCTGCTGAAGACAAAAGAAAAATCCCCCAAAAGCAGCCATCAGAAGTGAGCATTTCCCTTCCTGTGCCGGTCCCTGATGGACCTGGGACCTCCCTGCAACTGGGAGCTGGATTCCACCCCATTTTGCCGCTGGAGTGACTTGGCCCCCAGCCTCTCCTACCCTCCCCGGGCTGCATCAAACGTGCTGTATTATTGTATTGTCTCTCGTTTCTAACAAAACCCTCCATGAC